GGCGTGAGTATTGACATATTCGTGTAATCTCGTTCTCGCGACCTTGCACGTATTCGTTACGAGGTACACATGTAAACATGCTGACCTAGTGCATCGAGTACACCCTGTTACATAGGTATAAAACATTTTAATTAGGTCACAAAAGAGACTGACATGTTTGAATCCCGTTGAACTACTATTTTCTGGTGAGTGTTATTCTATTTCGTATAACGTCTTAATATCAATTTAGGTCATTTAAGGACGTGCTTGCATGTGTGTGATGTATGTATGCATGCGTATATATGTAGTGAAGGCGGTATGTCGTTGTATATGGATTCAACCTGAATGTCGTGTAAGAGAAAAAGTTCGCTATAGAACATTTCAACAATTACAGCACAAGTTCAATATGTCAAAATCACATACCTGAATTCCGATGTTTAATCTTGGTATTTAAATGATTTACCAGGAGAGATAGATCAGATATAAACGAGTTTTTTTATTTCATTCATAAAAGAAGATTAGGCTTAACCTTATAGTCAAAACAGTTTAAAATTTTAATGGGTTGTAAGGGAAATGATATACGAGGAAGGCTCATAGTTATTGACATGGAAAAAGTACTTGAAATTGTCTTTAGAACGTTTATAAATGATTAATTATAACATTAAAAGCGTAATCTCAAAAAAGTCAGGATTATTATTTACAACTTTTTACAACAATTAGAGGATTAAAAAAGGGTTTCCAGTGGGTTAATTGGATTTAATATTTGTGCAGACATATTGCCATATTTTATAAGCAATTAATAAGAATATTTCGAGAATAACAAAAAAGCGCTAAAAGTGGTCTTAAACTAAATGTCTTTAACGATTTTTAGGACTGAGGATCTATTTGAAGCTTGAAGTCCTTGCAAAACGTACATCGCTAGTTGATGGCAAAAAAAGAAAATGCCAAACTCTACAGGATGTTCCCAACAGTTAGTGTTTTTTCAAACTGATCTAGAAAGATGACTGTTCTTTGTCAGATATTAAATTCAGACAGGCCTTTCAAAAGAATCATATGTTAAAAGTAATGTAGCAAATTTAGTTTTTCCTTTTTTTAGAACGTATTGTACTAAAGCAAGATCGAAAATACATTCAAAAATCATAAAAACGATTACATTATTGTTTTCAATTTACAACAGGGATGTCGTAATGGCTTCCAGGTTCATGTAGTTTTTGTTGAAGTGGTATATAATATTCATAATTATAATACCAATATGAAAAGAATCTAAGATTGATTAAAGTTTGGTTTGGTTGGGTTTTATTATGTTTCACGTCCTATTAGCAGCTAAGGTCATTTAAGGACGGCCTCCTTTGTGTGCAAGATACATGCGTGTGGTGTATGTGTGTCTATCTTTGGAGGCTGCGATATGTTACATTCAATGAAGATGATATTTAAGGATCGCAATGGATACTTCAACATCATTTGACACATCAGCATCGAGGACATATTTTATTCTTCAACAATGTAGTCTCTGCAGGTAGGGCGTAAAATTTGTACCCCCTGTCCTTTTTGCATGATCGTAGGAGGCGACTAAATTTGGGATCTTTTCTTTTCTCTTCTTTCGAAGCTTGACAATGCCTCACTTTGGCCTTTAGTTGAGCGTTTGCCTCTGTGAAGAAGGCTTTAGGTTCTGTGCCCTGGCCGAGACATGCCAGAGTCTTTAAAAATGGTAGTTTCTACTCCTGCTTAACTCTCAGCACTTTAGGATTGGGACGACTGTTTAGCCCGTTGTTAGTATAATGTGACCAGGTAGGGTGTCCTGCTGGGGTATTCGGCAGTATGTTTCAGCGAGGAAGCACTATAAAGTCGGCATCAGTTCTGCGCTATCACAATGAGACAAACACGAACATATCGCAGCCTCCCAAAACACACACGAATACACTACACGCATGTATCTTGCACACATGGGAGGCAGTCCTTAAATGACCATAGCTGTTGATAGGACGTTAAACAATACTAAACCAAACCAATCTGCAACATTGTAGACGCATTTTATAAATCAATATTGTAGACGCAGTACTACTTGATACATACAAATTGTAGACGCATTTTATACACAAATAGCGTAGACGTATTTGATACATCAACACTGTATACGCATTTTATATATCAACATGCAAGACCTGGGAGGCAAATGTTTTACAGAAATGAATTTATATATATTTTTCAAAAACTGATTAAAGTGTAACGTCTTTTTTTGTTTGTACATTTTTTAAGCATTGCACATTGTGACCTGTTTGCTTGGAAAGCTTTTTTCATTCTAATAGATTATCACTGCCATAAACACAGTATAATACTTTTATTAACGTTTTCTCTACCTTTTTAACTCAAAAGTTATTTATAAAATTTAAAATTCGCGCCTTATCGACGGTCAAAACAAATCTAATCAATAGCTAGAACAGCGTGTTGTAGTAGTCCTTTGAAAATATAACAAACACTTGAATTTCATTCCACAATGATATGTCTATTGGGGTATTTTAGTTTATAAAATGAAATCTGAGCTAAAAGTTAGATCTGAAATTGTTTTGATTTATACCCCGGAATAAAATCGCGCATGGATCAATACAGTCAACACCATAATCAGACATTAGGAGGGAGTTATTTTTGGAAATTGAATGACCTGTGAGAAAAGTTGGAAATTGCAAACAATTCAGGTGTTAATTTATTTGTTGATTGCATGAAAACCTGTTTACAGTTGGTAGATGCTACAATAGCCTCGTTATTTGACATGTCGTCTGAAACTGAGAAAACCGTGACTGATAGATGCGTGATAGCGTTTAAAGTGTATGATCTTGCGTCACAGCGTAGGGCAATAGATGATTGTAGCTCAAGATGAAAATAAAAGTGCACCACTCAGTGCTCCCTTTTGTGATGTTGACACGGTCCTGTTATATGACCGGAGTGATATTTGGTTTTTGTGGTTAGACATAAACATGATATGTCTTGTCTCAAACGTTTGATCATTCAAACATTGTACGATTTTAGATGAGCTTTCATTCGTGTCGATGCATTGGTTCAAATCAATGTCGCTGCAAATTTAAAACATTTGTTAAAAATTTCATTACCGCTAGATGACAATTCATCACCAAAAAGTCCGCAAATCCAAGTAAAATGTAGGAAGATCGTTAATTATATCATGGTTAGATCAGTGCAGTGACAGTGTAACAGACGATACTTCTGACTGATAAATTGTATGAGTGTTAAATCATTTTCATTGGTTATTGCAACCGATGTGTATTGTGTACGATACTGCAGACCTTTGTCTTCTTCCTTTTTTAAATAAAACTATTTTTAAAATATTTTCTCGATATCTTTTTACATATTCAAAATAACATTGGATATTGTAGTTCCTGTCTGTGTTGTAACAATAAGCTTAGAATTGTATCTCGTCGTGCATGGCATTTAAATTCCCATCAACGGCACAGCTTTCAAATACGTTATCTAGTGACAATGCCATGCAAATGTAAATATATTTGTGGTTGGCTACATACATTTGAACTAAAGTAATGAATTACATGTAGTTCATGTGTGTACAGAACAACTCGATTAATTAATTTTGAGATCCAACGAAGGATATTTAATTATACTATTTCGTTCAAACCTGTTGATTAATGTCTGAACCCGTGTTAAAAAGTCTACCATTAGATACTTGTCAGTAATGGAGATTGTGCAAGTATATGCCTTAAATCTATGACAATTTGAAGGCGGTCATTGAATGCTCTTTTTCATGCACAATGATAGAAACGAACTTTCAAAAAGTAATATTTTTGTATAATATAAAACATTGTATAGATGTTGCTTTTCGATTTGATAATATTTCATTATACTGCGGTGGTGGGTTTACACCAGATATCATACTCAGTGATACTGTTTATTTGGTCATTTTCATGAAGCAGACAGTATTTGGAAGTTAAAAAAGTTGACATGAAAAAGCTTGATTTTATTTTGATACTTAGTATGTATACGATTTCTCCATTAACAAATATATGTATTCAAAATGTGAGAGGAAAAGGTCAAAGATAGATTCAATTGATCATTTTTTTTATATTCATTGCTAAAGGAAACTATACACAAAACAGTATATATGCGTGCATATTGGTAGAAACTACAAAGATTGGACTACTGATGTTGTTAGCTAGACATAATAATACTGATAATTGTAAAACGCATTTTTTAAAGATTTTTTATCCATTTAAAAAAACTTGAAATATCCCTAACTGACAATAAGGACGAGATTATCAATAAGAAATGGGAGTTTATGGGACATGATATTTGGAAGTTATCGTTTTTGATGAACCCCTTGTCAAGTAGAGTATTATAAATGCAGTAATCGTTTGAACTTCTTTTATATTATGGCAATAACCATTGAAAGAATAGGTCAATAACGTCACACGACAAAACTTTTCGTACCAATTTGTGTTAGGCGCCTAGCAATAACGTTTCCAACTGTTGATTTTACTGTAGCTGACAAACGCGTGGCAAACAGCCTAATTCGCTGCCATGTCGCGACTCTGAGAAACATCTCCATTCCGCATCACAGAAGCGTTTGAGACGAACCTTTTTGGACATCAAAGAGTTCAAGCGTCAGGTATTATTCATTAGTATTCAAATACATATAGGAAGGAAGGACAAATGAAGCTAACACTTAATTTGCGCATTGTAATTATAGTGTTTGTTAAGTGTGCGGATTGTTAGATGACTGTGATTACTTGAGTGGGTTGAACCACCGTTGTATGGAGACGGTAGCGATTTGTGCGAACACTGGTGTTAGGGTCAATACCTAGACTGATGTATAATACGTGTTTGAATGACATACGAAGTGATACGTCATTCAACTATCGGTCACAGGATTTGACGATATAGCAGACTTTTCATTATCGCATTCGTCGAGCCAATTTTCTGTTCCAATCAAAACGTATTAAAGTAAACCTTGTCTTGGAAACAGTCGGTGTATACCAGAGTGTAATTAAAACAATATTTGTATTGACAAGGCCGTGGGATCGGATTCAAGAGTAACTGTGGACAACGGCAATGAGGAGGAGGAGGGGTGAAACGGGCAACTAAACATCGGTATAAGTGTGCTTAGATCACGTGGTGTCGCCACTCGAGGGCAGAGCTGCACTAGTATTGCACCAGCTAAGTGATCCCGTTGTAGACAAGGTTTTAATCTGAAAAGGTAAGAGTTTTATTTATCTAAAGGAACGTTTGATAATATATACCCAGACAGTGTATCATTTGAAGTTTTCGGAAATAACAGGAATTGTATTCATAAGCTACAGGACAATATTTCTTCAATTCCGGAGTCTATTTATTGGCTAAAACAAAAGTCATCATTTATTATCAAGTGGATATTTTGAAAGTCAAATATTTAAAAAAATAAATAAAAATAAATCATAATATATTTATTGAATGAGGAACTGATTAAATTTCATCATGTATTTCAAGCGAAGTTCTACGAAAGTGTCATATAAGTGCAAGATACATTTCTGAGATATGATATGATTGATATAAAAAGGTTTCGCCTTAAGATATCCTAAAAATATACATTTATATGTATTCTATAAAGGTTTATCTTTAATAATTTAAAACTATTTGTTGGAACAATAACAATATTCCGTTAAATCCAATTACGATTAAATTGTAATATGTTATTGCTGAGCGTAGTTCAATAAAGTATTTTTTTAACATAAATATAACATAAAAAATCAAGTCAGCGTGGATGGATTGTTTCAACATGCAATGTATATTGCTATGATATTAAAATAGAAATAACTAATCTAATTGAGAGTTATAAAACTCTCTTGTGTTGATTTAGTTTAATAACATTTTGTTTTAAAATGAAGAATGTATCACAGATTTAATATTATATTAAATGCTTGGTTTGTTTAAGACTTTGCAAGCCAGATTTGTATTATAGAGAGTTCCGCTTTGTCTTACATAACCGTATTTCTATTATATTAGATTCTCTATTAATAGACAAAATGTAGGAAGATGTGAACAGTTCATCTTCCATATTATTGACACATATGTTTATAATATGTGTATATAAGTGTGGTATGAGGAACACGAACCAACCCTCAACAGATATTACGTATACATTAGTCGCATTTTTTGTATACCTCGAATATCGCTAGAAATACGAAGCATAGACGCACCTTATTTAATATTTAATATGTCGACGCAAACAGACAAACATTTACTGACCATAGTGCTATGTCGCCCATTTAACATATATATATACTATACCTTAACATATACATACACTTTTATAAATACCATATAAAGTGTTTGAATACTGATGCGTTTCCGAGAGTTTAAAAAAACTAGTCAAACTATACAACACGTATTTTGATGATATTTACAACCCGGATACATATTTCAAAAGTTCCGATGACCATCAATCAATCTTAACGATTTTAGGTAGACCAGCAATCAATTTTACTGATGGTACATAGGCCCTCAATCAACGTTTACTGTTATGTGGATCTTAACTCATTGAAACTAAATATATTGTAAACATTCAGGCAATATTACCTGTATAATGTAGATAGGTAATCTTTCTCAACTATGCTGTGTTTAGTAAACCATAAATGTTATTAACATAATGTAGACCTTAAAATGATTTTAACTTCCAGATCTTAGACCCGAATGAAACCAAGAATAACTTATATGTTGCCCCCAATCGCAACACTTTTTTCGGCATTCCTCATATGACCCTGGCTTTTACGAAAACGTAAAATAACAATGTAATTCTCTCAGTGTATATATATTGCAAACCGTCAATTGGTGTATTAACTAATGCTATTTAAGCTCCAAATTAATGTTAATGATATAGAAACCCTAACTTTATGTTAACTTTGTTATTCAGAGATCTATGATATCTATGAGTTAACCACACGCAATCAATGTATTTGTTATTCGGATATCTATGAGTTAAACAATCTCAATCAATGTTAACTTTGTTATTCGAAGATCTACGATATCAATACAATGTACAAACTCAATCAATGTTAATTTTGTTATTCAGAGATCTATGATATCAATGAGTTGTACACACTCAATCAATGTTAACTTTGCTATTAAATCCTCAAGGTATATCATTGTGACAGCTTTGGTTATTTAAGGACGTGCCTCTATGTGTGTAGTGTATGCGTGCTTGCATATCTGATGCAGGAGACATGGTTTGTTGGCGTGCTTGCCTTCTTGTGATAGCGCGGATCTGACGCCGACTTTATAGTGCTATCACACTGAAATACCATGCCGAAGGCAACCAGCACAGCATTTCGCCCGGTCGGTCACAATATACTGACAACGGGTGAACCAGTTGTTGCCATTTCCCTCAATGCTGAACGCTAAGCAGGGAATTACAACTACCGTTGTTAAGGACTTTGGCATGTCCCGGCCTGGAGACAGAACTCATTGCCTTCCGCACCTGGGCGATCGCGTAACATTTAGACCAAAAGTGAGGTTTTGCCCAGCATGGCGTTAGGAAATAAAAGGTAGGGTCTGACTTTCTAATATAGTGGTAAATGATGTTTGTAATGTGGACTATTTGGTTTCAAAGGTCCTTTAATCAATAGGTAAATGTGTGGGATGAGATTTAAACAATAACATCACACCAAACCTTAGTGTTTACTAACATGTTGTTGCTTTGATTCCAATGAGTTAAGGTCTTCGGGGAAAGAATAGTTCTACTAAATCCACTGCATGTCGTAAAGGCGACTTATATGCACCCCCCCCCCCCTTTGTCCTCTGCTGAGGGGACATCGAAGAAACCAATAGTGATATGCTGCCCTATTGCAACATTTGTGATCGTTATATTTTCTCTCTACATCCTACCAATATAATGTTGTATCTTTTCTTTAGATGCCACTTTGCTAGTTTTTTTTGTTTTTTTTTAAACTAGGTTCCGCTCTGTGTGATACGAGAATTATTATTCTAATATTGCCGTCAGTTGTTATAAAGTAGTTGTCAAATCTGGCGCATAACTGCACCTAATATCATCAAGGCGTTTTGTTTCGTAAACAGCAATAAATGTCATTTAACATCAACTATACAACACAAACATTATAATCAATAGATAAATATTTTAAGAATATAAAGTTGCAAAATTAAGATTTTAAAAATAAATACACAACGTTATTGACAACATTTTTGTTTAAATATCCTTACCTCTCTCGGTATAATTTTGGTACATTGTTGTATCGGGTAAATCTGGAAATTGAGGGGTTTTAATTTCGCATTTTTCTTATTTTTAAAGACCCTGTTACTGACCCAACAACACCACGCAAGCGGTCGTTTTATTTACCAAAAATCACGCCTGCTCGAGGTCTTTATCGTAGAACTCTATAAGTTGTAGATTCGCACTATTTGATAGAAACAAATACATCAACATACCTGATATGAGGTCAACAAGGGTATGGGGTCACCTGCTCACTGACCACGTATTTTTTCTCCGGGTTTTCCTCCCACGCTAAGACCCTCCGCGAGATTACATCCGGGCTTGATGATTATAAATTGATGTAACTTGTGTCATAATTTTTTAAACTATATCTGTATACCACCTCAAGCACCCGTGCAAATTCTACCTATGTAAAATAACGTCCTTAAAATACACGCTAAATCCTATATATCAACGTAATGCGCTTACTTAAAGTCAATATGATAGGTTGCCTGATTTCTTAGTTCGTCATTATGAAATAGAAACCCTTGCTCTTTATGAAATACTCGAATAACTGATGCCGTAAGTTTTCCCAATGTTAGTTTAAGCATCATGATTAGCGCAAATAATGACCTTAACAAAAACTCGTTTTCGAAACACAAAGCTTAAACGTTACGTTGAATAAATATATAAGACAACACAATCATCACGTCAATATTTAGGTTGAAATAGTAGAGCTAAATATCGACATTCATTGAAAGCTCTGCATTTCCTTCTGATGGATTCCACTCGAGAGAGCCATACAGACTATTTGTAATTTGTCGAAATGGGAAAACGTCTGATTTAGAATCGAATGTAAATCATCAGGATTCTTTACGCTCCTTCACTTTCCTTAGAAAAGGCTAAAGTTGTTTAAAACATAAAAGTAAACGGAAATCTACCATCCCGACGTTTTGTTGGGGTCCTCGACACCATAAAAAAAAAAAAAATATTAAAGACTTTTGCACTTTTAAACCAGCATCTGTCATAGTAGAAAAGATTTACATTGACGAAGTGTTCATAAATTCCGGAAAAAATACAGATATAGAAAAATTGTCCATAAACTCAAACTGTTTACAGGAAACCGTTGTCTTAGTTTATTTATGTATTATTATTATATTTAACACTCGTTAACAAGCAATCTTTGAATTATTACTTTACCTTTTTTTTAATCCCAGATCATTATTGTTGACTTGCTTTCCATCTCCACGGCCGTAGAGTTTGTAATTCTGTTAACGTTTCGGATCCCTGTCCCGCTGCAGAGAAAACGCTGTATAATTCTACTGTAGTTACTTGTACCGGGCCTGAGAACTAATCAGTTAGCTTAGATAATTACTTCTTCACCTCTGTAGTTTTGGGGAAAGAATAAATCTGCTGTATCCCACTGCATGCTATCGGAAACGGCGGCTGCTTAGAGGGCATTGATAAAGCCATATTGACCTGCTGGGATGTATATATTATACACTTTCTTTTCGGCGGTTTTTGGATACATTAGATTTTCTATCCCATGTAGCATGACATAATGATACAGACTACGGTAGCCCTTTAAGGAGGCAAATGCACCAACATTTTCGCTTCCAACACACATAAATTTCTCACAGGGAGGCACGTCCTTAAATGTCATTCGCTGTCAATAAGACCCAACCAAACAAGAACCAACATACCTTATGGCTGGAATATGTGCCGTCATGGTTAACATAAAATTATAGTTTAATAGTTATTTATCTATTGTGCCTTAAAGTTGTAAAGTGTTGTCTATGTCCGTCCCGTCCCGATTTAATGTAAACACTTAGCAACTTCATTCTTCCACGAATTTTCGTCAAACTTCATACAAAGGTCATGTAAACTTCATTCTTCCACGAATTTTTGTCAAACTTTATACATAGGTCATGTATTTCCGGGTATCAAGATCAAAGTGCTTATAGAGTATAGTATATGACATCAAACACTGAAAATAATTTCACATAGCGGCAGGGGCATTTATGTCTTACAGATAATTTCTAGTTTATAAAACAAATCTTCCAAATTATGCCCGTTATTGTAAAGTTCATATCATAAAGAGGGTATTGAATTGATAATGTTTCGGTAACTTGCGTCAAACCCACTCGTCCTTTTTTGGTAAATAAGTGTATGTTTTAACTTAAAACTGTCTATTATGTTTAAGTTAAAGACGTTTAGAGCCATATAAACAGTTTACTCATTTCAGAACGTTCCTCCATGTAAATGTATGTAATTTGTGCGTGTGTTGCTTTATTTCTGGCAGTAGCACGGGTTCGATCACGGACTTTTGAGTGCTTCTTCACTGAAACGCAATACCGAAACCACCTCGTACTCCAATAGGTCACATCATACCGACAGCGGTTGTTTGGAATACCCTTAAGTGTTTAGTTCGGAATAACATTGAACAGTTTGGCAAGTCCTGACAAGGGGTCAACACTCTTTGCCTTCCTTGGCAAATGATCTGCAATATAGTCAAATGTGAAGTGATACATGTACCTAGGGAGGCGTAAAGAAGTATATAAACACAAGTGAAGGTAGAATAGGAAAAAACACAATCCCAACTGTTGCAATTAGATGCTTTAAACATATTATTGTCTCCTTTGTGCCATTATACAAGTGTTACGCGCCGTAATGGGCAATAGGGAAATCCTTGGTTAAGAAAGGATGGTCGAATTGATCTTTTTCTTGTCCATTCACATCGACCAGTCTGGTGTTGTTGTACTTATCCCGCATAATCTACTTAGTACAGCTAAGATGATGTCTGGTGATGAAACACCGTCGCAAATGTGCTTTGGTCTGTAGTCATATGCATTAAGTTTCGATATTATAATAGATTTCAACTGAATATATTGACAATGTTTTCTACCAGAGAGGCATCAAATTATTTTTATATTTGTCCCTATGACATAATTTCCAGTAGTTAGTAGTTTAAAGCATGCACCTTAAGACCTTCCATGCATGAAGGGCCAAATGAGCTTATTCCATGGTGCAGCGTCCGTCGTCGGTCCGTCCGTCGTCAATTTTTTACTTTAAAAAACTTCTGAATAACCAAGAAGTGAAGGCTGATGATATTTAGCCAGTAGCATGCTGGGGTGAAGGGCTACCAAGTTCAAATAAATGGCATTTGTCCATTTGCAAGGTCACAGGGGTCAAATATGTTAAAGAATCTTTAAACGCCCAGGCCTATATGGTTTGGCCAATAAGAAGCTGGGATGAAGCAGTACTACAAAGTTTGTTTAAATGAATGACCTTCGCCCATATTCAACGTCACATAGGTCAAGTGTGTTGAAATCTCTAAACAACTTCTTTTGAATAACCAAAATATTCAAAATGAATGACCTTCGCCCATATTCAAGGTCACATAGGTCAAGTGTGTTGAAATCTCTAAACAACTTCTTTTGAATAACCAAAATATTCAAAATAAATTACCTTTGCCCATATTCAAGGTCACAAGGGTCAATTGTCTTAAACAACTTTAAACAACTTCCTTTTAACCAAAAGGTCCAGTGTGACGATATTTGATCAGAAGGATGTTCGGATGAAGAGCTACCAGTTTTGTTTAAATGAATGACCTTCGCCAATATTCGAGGTCACAAGGCGGTCAAATATGTTTAAATTTTTAAACGACTTCTAAATAACCAAGAGGCCTAGGGTGTTGATATTTGGCCAGTAGTATGCTTGGATGAAGGGCTACCAATTTTGTTCAGATGAATGGCATTTGCCCATTTTCAAGGTCACAGGGGTCAAATATGTTAAAATCTTTAAATAAATTCTTTTGAATAACCAAAAGCTTCAGGGTGATGATAGTTGGCCAGGAGCATGCGGGGATCAAGGGCTACGAATTTGTTCAAATGAAAGACCATCGCCCATATTCAAAGTCACAGGGTCAAACATATGGAAATCTTAAAACAAGGTCAAAAGGGTCAATCGTCTTAAATAATTTTAAACAACTTCCTCTGAATTACCAAAAACCTCCAGGGTCATATTTGGCCAGCAGCATGCGGGGATGAAGGGCTTCGCATTTTGTTCAAATGAATGATTTGCCCATATTCAAGGTCACAAGGGTCAATTTCTTTAAAACACTTTAAACAACTTCTTCTGAATAACCAAAAGGTCTAGCGTGATGATATCTGGCCATTAGCATGCTGGGACGAAGGGCTACCAAGTTTGTTCAAATGAAATACCTTTGTTCATATTCAAGGTCACAGGGGTCAATTGTCTTAAATACTTTTAAACAACTTCTAAATTACCAAAAACTCGTGGGTGATATTTGGCCAGCAGCATGCGGGGATGAAGGGCTTCGCATTTTGTTCAAATGAATGATTTGCCCATATTCAAGGTCACAGGGGTCAATTGTTTTAAAAACCTTTAAACAACTTCTTCTGAATAACCAAAAGGTCCAAGGTGATGGTATTTGTCCAAAAGGATTTTGGCATGAAGGGCTACGAAATTACCATCGCCCATATACAAGGTCACAGGGGTTATTTGTCTTAAAAACACTACAAAACGACTTCTTCTGAATAACGTCCAGGGTGATTGCTTGTTCATGTGATTTACCTTGACACACTTTCAAGGTCACATCTGGTCCACAGTGCATAACTCTTAAAGTCAACTTCTCAATTGACAAAAGGCATAGGGCCATTAGGGTGGTGATATTTGACAAGTTGCATTCTGGGATGAAGGCTATAAAATTTGTTCAGTTTAATGTCCATGTTTGACTTTCAAGGTCACAGGGGTCAACTGTGTTTAAATCGTTTAACGGGTTCTGAATGTCTTTAGTCAAGACACTGATATTTTGCTAGTAGCTTTATTTTTGTCCACTTTTAAGGTTACAATTGTGAGATTAATACAAGGTGATACAGGCAAATTGGGCCACTTGTCTAATCTCCCGTAAAGAAGGGAAAATACTCCAAAGTGAAAATAAATCTGGAGTGAAACTCAACTTCGAGATTATAACTGATGCAGTTGTACCCTTTGCTTCAATCGACAACCGTAAGATATTAGACTACCTTATTCTGATATTCCATAGCAAACATCTGGATACTTGTGAAACCTGAAGAGAAAACGTTATCCTTTGGCGACTGCGTTTAGTCGAAACTGTTTCATCATATAAGCTTCCATTTGATATCGAGATCAAACTTGCTGTCATGCCTGCAGTCAACCACTTTATGATTAATTGCACTGAATTTTACCGAATGGGGGAGACACAGTCTATGAGTGTCAACTGAAAATATTTTATCTTCCAGGAGATATAATAACTATGTACAAATACTGATAAGTGTGCTTATGATGTTCTTTTGCATTTTTTACCTTTAAAGCTTTTATTTTGAAAACAGTTTTAGCCTCGCCTGGCTCTAAAAATGATTAAACTGTAGATTTGTCTGAAATAATACAAACACAAAACTGCTCACAACATACAAAGTTGTATACATTTTATTCTGCAATTTGCCGTACCTACACACATAGAGACAGTCACGTCCTTAAACGATCGTCACTATTAACAGTACGCTAAAACCATAAAAAAAACCTCAACCAACGGACACAACAAAAGATCTATCATGCGTTAAAAGGAGTGCAAAATTGTTAAAGCCCTGTCTTTCTACTAGATATCCTTTTGGAAGTAAACCATCAGTACATTTTTAACAAAAACAAAAGACAAAAATGTCATAGCTGATTCCTGGCAAGTGACAAATTAAGACTGGATTACGATTGAATGTTTATATAATAGATAAGTCGACTTTCCTTCTCTTATAACTCAAATCTGCCAAGTTCAAATGACTCGCCTAAGAACATCTGTGTTTAGTATTACTCATTGTTTTCCTTAATGTTTTATTGTTGTTATGCGATAGCCAACGAAAGATTCTTGTGAGGCCAGCATCTAATTCTTTTCAAGTTCTTGACATGACAGGTCAAGCAATACACAACAAATTTGAGTCATTACTAGTATAAATAAAACAGATAAAAACGTACAGGTTATCCAACTTTTAATGGTCGGTTATTATGTTTATCTTATTTCCGATCGGGGAAACAATTTCCATGAACTATGACGTCACACTGGAAGATGACGTTGCAAAGCATTGCTAGTTGAACATTTTTCCGATGAAATAATATCCAGACTGTTACCCACTAGTGGGTACCCAAAAGGGTTTACCAACTCCTGGCAGTTTCGGGAGTGGGGAAACCTTGAGTGGTTGGGGAGAAAAATAATTTACCCATATACATTTTATGCGGTGGTACGCCAAGATCTACAATTGTATAATATTTGTATTCCTTTCGTTGCAGTTGCCATGCCGTGCAGGTCATCACTGGTGTGCTTAGGACTGGTATTCATTATTGCACTTACGTTTACGAGAGGTTCAGCCCGATCATTCCAAGCCTCACTAGATCAAAGAGAGCGACAGGTAAGCATACATATGTACATTATATTCCAGTACGTACGACCTGTGTTACCTCAACATTTTCAATTATCGACATATTGAACGTTTCTGCTGTACTCCATGATAAGTCTTTAACGCCAAACAATTATTAGAAAATTGATATAACGAACGAAGCATCCATTTAAAGTAATGAGTAACCGATGTAGAAAGCAACCAAAGTTAACAGGTTACTGCGCATTAAAGCCATTTCGTGTGTTTATTTTGTTTGTCATCAGTGTGGCCTTATGACAAAAAAATAAACATTTTGTATTAAAAGTGTTCAAAATATATGTACAAAAAGAGAAAAATAGTCTTTTATCAGTTTTTAAAAGAATCTTTTATCAAAAATATCAAAATTATTGATTTCTTTCTTTACAGATCTAATAGTTTTCTATTTTTGGAATTAAAATTTCATTTTGTTTGTACAAATATGACGTTGTCTATGTATTTGTTATTTCAGGATATTATGGTGTTAGCGGCGAGAATCATAAAAATTGCTATGTCAGCGTCTTCTTCCTCCAATGATGTGATGGATAAACGTAATGCAGGGACAATCGACTCCTTGTACAATTTACCTGACTTATTCGCTGCCGGAAGATGAATGTCAATTTACTATGGTTGAATTGTTGATTCCGTCGCCATGCATTAAATCTGTTGTACAGTTTTCAACAAAACATGAAGTGTTATTTGTTCATTTTACAAAATATTCAATTTATGATGAAATCCTATGTATTTTTATAACAAGGATTGTTCATTAAATAACACATCAACTGACTTATAAATATAAATATATGTTGGACAGAGCTTTTTGTCTCATAAGTCAAAAAATATTTTTCCTTGAAATATTGAGGGTTTTAACACGTCATTTTAACCCGAAGAGTCGCAGCCCATTTTGTGGAATCAAAACATAATCCCTGAACATCCTGTTTTTGCGAATCCCCTGCAGAATTGGGGATTAGCTGAATCTCCTGCACTAATTGCAATAGTTGAGACATTTATATTTTTCTCTACTTCTACCTACCTTTTGTTTCCTAACGCCTTGCTAGGCAATACCTCACTTTTGGCTTTACCTTGAACGTTCGCCCAGGTGAGGGAGGCACCCGTTGTCAATATAACGTGACCGGTCAGTATGCTGTGCTGGGTGCCTTCGGTATGGTATTGCAGTGAGAAAGCACTATAAAGTAGGCATCAGATCCGCGATATCACACGGAGGGAATAAAGCAACATACCCTGTCTCCGACACACATAGACGCAAGCATGCAGACACAACACACATGGAGGCACGTCCTTAAATGACATTAGCTGTTAATAGGACGTTAAACAAAATAAACCCATCACTTGCTTTTGCGTTAATATAAGATCATTAAAATACATATCTTAATTGCTTTTAACCAAGTTATCGTCTATTTTACTTTTTTTAACTATCTTTCATTTAAGTACATGCGGTGGAACAATCAAAATTTAAAATGAAATTTTGGTCACGAATAAGAGGAAAACGGAAAATATTCATCAACGGAGAGTCAATTAATTTCTTTCTACCACATTATATCAATGGTAATGATATACTATTTCCTTAGTTTGTCCAGAGTTCATTGTACTTATTGAATCTATATTCGGAAATAGTCAGTTGCCAAGGATCTAATTCTGAAGTATTCTTATAACAGAATTATGCCATTGAGTATTTTCCTTCACTGTGATGATTACATAGTCTGACGAGGCTGTAAACAAAACGGAAGTATTACATATTCATAAAGATTATTAACTGCCGTCATAGAGCTTAGTTATTCGATAATGTATGATGTTCTTTATTTTCAGCATCGACACTTTTTGAAACGAGATATAGATCATTATTATATATATAACACAATAATTTTAAGTAGCAATTTACCATGGTATACTTACTTACCATGTTTTCTTCATTTCCCACTCTTAACCACACTTATTTAAACCGTGTAAGTTTCCAGTATATGAAGGAAGACTTCTAAATTCTTCAGCAGTTTTCATTACTTGGATATTCTTGCCAAGTTTCTATAGCAAGGAGTAACAGTGTATGTTCGATATAGATGTAACAATTTTTATTTCTTTTACACAACACATCTAAGGATTTGATCCTGGTCAAGATTTATGATTAATATATCTTTTTCTGCAATATTACTGAAAATTAATAAAAAAGAAGAAGAAGATGTTCCATCTGCCCTACATACAATGGTAGCAAGATGATGCGTTTATGGCCCATACACAAAAGATAAATGTGTGACTTTTTAAACCAGAATTTTATCTACAATTAAAAACGGACATCAAACAACTTGTTAAAGTACTTATTTACTTAATGACAACGATCAAATGCAGACTTTGAAAACATTTGTCATGCATTAGTTCGCCATCATTATCACAGAATTATTTTTCTATGTTAAAACCTGATCAAAATGACTATTACTTCTGGTGTGACATCATGACAGGTGGTGAAGGAAATCATGCAATTACGGTGTTCCTGCTTTCGCCTTCATTTATAAGGATCGGCTCTTGTGAGAAGTCAAAATTATCTTCTGTCTACCATTTTTTAGCCCTACTTTATAATTCTTGTTCTTCATTTTTGTTAAGATTGGTCAAGTAAACCGATTCTTCGTTATTTGTGATTTTTGGAGAAAAAATAATGTATTTTGATCGCTGGCAGAAAAAAAAAATCTTTTCCGTGTGTTTTAGAAGAAATCTATAATTTCTATTGTTTGCACAATTGATAAAAACAGAATAATCTTCTCAACTTATATAGTAAAAATCTTAAGTAAAGAGCAGTTTAGGTTACCCCTACCCCCTTAAAATCCTCATTTTTCACAAGATTTTGTTGATTTAATATATGCTGAATTGAAAATATGTTTCACTTCTTAAAGCATTGAAAATACACACGGGGTTAACTGTGCTTCTTTTCTTCTCTCTGCAAAGAACAAGTTTCTGTTTTGTCAATTTTTTCAGATGAGTGTTTCCATTGAACATTGATCAAATTGTGTTTAAACCTCAAAGGAGGAGATCATGTGGAGGCTTGATCAAGATACTTGTTGATGTGGATGCTCGATCATAGAACTTGTTGGTGTGAAGGATGTATCAAAATACTTTTTGGTGTGAAGGATGTATCATAGTATTTGTTGGTGTAGAGGCTGGATGATAGTAGTTGTTGGTGTAGAGGCTGGATGATAGTACTTGGTGTGGAGGCTGGATCATAGTACTTGTTGGTGTGGAGGCTGGATCATAGTACTTGGTGGTGTAGAGGCTGGATCATATAGTACTTGTTGGTGTGGAGGCTGGATCGAGATAGTTGTTGATTTAGAGAATGTACGATAGTATTTGGTGGTGTGGAGGATGTATCAAAGTATTTGTTGGTGAGGAGGCTGATCACATAACTTGTTGGTGTGGAAGATGTATCAAAATACTTGTTGGTGCGGAGACTTAATCATATTACTTGTTGGTGTGGAGAATGGATCAAAATACTTGTTGGTGTGGAGACTGGTTCACGATAATTGATGGTGTGAAGGCTGGATCATAGTACTTGTTGGTGTGGAGGCTTGATCATAGTACTTGTTGGTGTGGAGGCTGGATCGAGATAGTTGTTGATTTAGGGAATGTACGATAGTATTTGGTGGTGTGGAGGATGTATCAAAGTACTTGTTGGTGTGGAGAATTTTTCGAAGTATTTGTTGGTGAAGAGGCTGATCACATAACTTGTTGGTGTGGAAGATGTATCAAAATACTTGTTGGTGCGGAGACTTAATCATATTACTTGTTGGTGTGGAGAATGGATCATAGTACTTGTTGGTGTGGAGGCTTGATCATCGTACTTGTTGGTGTGGAGACAGGATCATAGTACTTGTTGGTGTGGAGACTGGAGCATAGAACTTGTTGGTGTGGAGACTCGATTAAATTACTTGTTGATGTGGAGACTGGACCACAAAACTTGTTGGTGTGGAGGCTTGATCACGGAACTGGTTGGTGTGGAAGCTTGATCACATAACTTGTTAGTGTGGAAGCTTGATCACAGAACTTGTTGGTGTGGAGCCTGGATCACGGAACTGGTTGGTGTGGAAGCTTGATCACGGAACTGGTTAGTGTGGAAGCTTGAACACAGAACTGATTGGTGTGGAGGCTAGATCACGGAACTGGTTGGTGTGGAAGCTAGATCACGGAACTGGTTGGTGTGAAGATTGATAACGGAACTGGTTGGTGTGGAGGCTAGATCACGGAACTGGTAAGTGTGGAAGCTTGATCACGGAACTGGTTGGTGTGGAGGCTAGATCACGGAACTTGTTGGTGTGGAAGCTTGATCACGGAACTGGTTGGTGTGGAGGCTTGATCACGGAACTGGTTGGTGTGGAAGCTTGATCACAGAACTGGTTGGTGTGGAGGGTAGATCACGGAACTGGTTGGTGTGGAGGCTGGATCATGGAACTTGTTGGTGTGGAGGCTAGATCACGGAACAGGTTGGTTTAGAGGCTAGATCACGGAACTAGTTGGTGTGGAAGCTCTATCACGTAGCTGGTTGGTGTGGAAGCTTGATCACGGAACTGGTTGGGGTGGAGGCTGGATCACGGAACTGGTTTGTGTGGGGGCTGGATCACGGAACTGGTTGGTGTGGAAGCTTGATCCCGGAACTGGTTGGTGTGGAAGATTGATCACGGAACTGGTTGGTGTGGAGGCTAGATCACGGAACTGGTTGGTGTGGAAGCTTGATCACGGAACTGGTTGGTGTGGATGATTGATCACGGAACTGGTTGGTGTGGAAGCTTGATCACGGAACTGGTTGGTGTGGAGGCTGGATCACGGAACTTGTTGGTGTGGAGGCTAGATCACGGAACAGGTTGGTTTAGAGGCTAGATCACGGAACTAGTTGGTGTGGAAGCTCTATCACGTAGCTGGTTGGTGTGGAAGCTTGATCACGGAACTGGTTGGTGTGGAGGCTAGATCACGGAACTGGTTGGTGTGGAGGCTGGATCAGTTTTGTTTTATGGGGTTTCACGTACTAATTACAGGTTGGATAATTTAATGAAGTACCTCCATGTGCATTATGTATGCATGCATGCGAGTATGTGTGCTGGATATGGTATGTTGATATAAGTGCTTCCTTGATATTGCAAGGATATGATTATCAAGGCCGGAAAGGACTGCATACAACTGTCATGACAGACTTTGACAGTGCATCAAGATAATTGTTGGTCGAAGCATAATGAAACGTTAATAAACAAAAGCAGATAACGAAAGAATTGGAATTAATGTGTTTTATCATATGAAATATCATTCTCGACATGATAATTTCTACCTGTAATACCAGGCATATTTGGCAGCAACTTTTAAGGATAAATTTGTAGTTCGTTAACCATTAATATCAACACTAAATAAGTCATGCTCAACGAGACCAATGATAACTCTGAGTCATGATATGTACAAAGTACTGATTGTAATGGGGACCATTATAGAAGTCCCCCAATCGACCCTTTTACTACGAAATTATTGTTGAAACCGGAAATGGCGGCCATTTTGTTGAAACCGGAAAAAGGTCGTTACAGTTGTATCTGTGGTGTCATATAGTACCTATATACTAATTTTCATGAAAATCGGACAACATTGAAACTTTGACCTTTTTGTTGCCTGCATTTTGTTTTAAGAATCAGAAATC